CTAAACCGTTCCAAGCATTCAAGCATGGAGCCTAAGCAGGCCAATGTTTGCCTTTCCGCAGGGGCCCATGACATTAGCGTTTAGGATTTAGGGTTTAGGATTTAGTGTTTAGGGTTTAGGATTTAGTGTTTAGGATTTAGGGCTTAGGGTTTAGGATTTAGGGCTTAGGGTTTAGGGTTTTGGATTTAGGGCTTAGGGTCTAGGGTTTATGGTTTAGGATTTGTGGCTTAGGGTTTAGGTTTTAGGATTCTATAGGGCTTAAGGTTGAGGCTTTGGGGTTTAGGGTGTACCCAAGAATCACGTACTTGGGACTTGCATCATAGTAACTGTAGTGCAGGTCTTTGGCAACTAGATGAGTAGCTCCCAAAATCAGGCTCTCAACTTGGGTAGGTCCCGTAGTATAATCTCTAACTCTTAGGCCTCTAGGGTTCGGTAAACGTTGCGGGTCTACGGTTTAGGGTTTAGCATTTAGACTGGGTTATACGGCTTAGTGTCAGTTTACGTTGGCTGCCCAGAGGGCTCACTTGTTGCAGGTACCCACCATGAGGCTTGTGGCAATTTGGGATTTATGTACATTCATATGAAAAAATCGGTAAGAAATAAACAATATATATGTACACATATAAATAAGAGGGTCCCAATCTGGAAACCTTCATACGAGTTTAGTACTGTCAGTGGATGTTGTCCTCATCCCTGAATCCTATTGGCAAGATGTCTGTCATAATCACCTATGCTTCGCCCTCTCCACCAACTTCCTCTGCTGCGACGGATGCGATAGAGTTCTATGATGATGTGCTTCTAGTCCGGGAACTTCTCAAGGCTCAAAAGCCTAAACTCTAATCATCAAAGCTCTAAACCCTAAACTCTATCCTGTAAAATCCTGGAGAGGGACTCCCATGATCCCTGTGGCGGTGCGTCATGCCATTATATCCTTATAAGATGACGGGACTATTCATTGTGGGGGGGGGTGGGGGGAGGCTATTTGGCGGAGAGGATTACTATAATACTAAAAATAAGAAGAAACATACATATAATAGTTTTTTGTTGAGAAAAATGCTGATAACAATCACAGGAGTTAATTGCCTAAATTTCTAGTCCCCGTTGAAGATTCGCTACCTGCTGGCAGTGGAGGTGCCGGGTGCTCCGCTGATTGGCATTGTCTTTGGCACTGTGGTGCGCCTTGCGTTGCACTTTGCGCAGTGTACCTTTTTTCCCCTGCGCTTGTTGAAGAGGTACTCCGTACTTGAACTTCGGGATACGGTATACTAGTTCAGAAGCCTCCTGTCCACACATGTCCTTTGCATTTCCCTGTGCAAACAATGACTGGTTCAAGATTTTTAGCTCCTCATACGAATCCCCTTGAACAAGCAAGCAACAAGTGAGAGGGTTTAGAAGCATTACCACCATGTACTGCCATCACGGCATTATCAACCATTACTGCTGTCCTGCTGCCACTTGGCAGTATATGTTTCAGTCCAAAGGAGGGTAGGATTAGGGGTACTCTTCAGGCTCTTCAGGGGGTCTGCTAGGAACCCTTCTGTTTTTTCTTTGGTTCTCTGCAGAGGGATTATTTCGTACCCCTAAACCTGAAGCGATCAGTCGATCCAAATGTCCGGCGACCCCCCTGATCTTACTTGGAGGGTCGGGGGGACTTAGTAAGCAGGTTAATAACCCCTATAACCGATATAGTAACCCTAATCATCCCCACTATAAACCTACTTGCTAAGTCCCCCTAACCCTCCTATAATCCACAAAGGCACCCGACCCAAGGTGCTGGATCGAGGGCTGGGTCAATGGCATTGAAGGCTCCGTCTTCGGATATCCGTTTGGCACCGAAGGCGCGAGGTCTCTGAAATTTGACATAGGGTGAAGTTTAGGGTTCAGGAAAGGGTCCCGAAATCAGTGTCTTTACGGCCTCCAACATAGAAGAATCTTAGCATGAGGGGTTCCAGCCGTATTCGGTCGCTGAGCTGTGCACTTGACCGCCAAAAGCTCCCATAACTTGGTTGGGGCTTAAAGCACAGGCACTAAATAGCTGCGTTCTAGCTAGACCTCAGTCATGAAGGACTGCAGGACCTGACACTGAGGCAGGGACCCCGCACCATAGTACCATTACCCTAAGGGTCCAAGTACCCAATAATCAGGTACTTTGCATTTTGGTAATAGTAACTGTAGGACAGGTTTTGGGTAAGTATATGATTATTGGGTACTTAGGGTTACGCAATATGTGAAGTACTCATTATTAGGCTGGGGGGGCTTCCGCATTCAAGCATCTTTGTACCCTAAACCCTAAACCCAGCGGACTTCCAGCTCTGGGATGATTTGACTTGTATTACTTTCATTACTGGCTTTCGTATGGTTCTTCGTTTTAAGGGTTTAGGGTTTAGGGTTTAGGGTTTTGTTCTTATTCCTATAGTCCCTCTTAAGTAGATAGAACATGGGGTATTAATGGGGATTTTAGTATAATATACCCAAAGCCAGATTCTAACTACTTAAGGGGGACTATAGCTTTGTTAGTATAGCTTATAGCAAGATCACTTCTGGGGTTACTGGAAAGTCCTAGGACCTAGGATTGGACTTCCGGAAGGCTGAAAAGCTTAAGGCTCTGAAGCCTATAAATTGTAAGGGTTTGAGGTCTGGGGTTTAGGGGTTCAGGGTTTGAATTTAGGGCTTGGTGTTTAAGCGTTTAGGGGTTCAGGGTTTTGGAGTTTAGGGTTTGGGGCTATGGGTTTTGGGTTGGGTTCAAAATTCTCTACAGTAGCCTGAACCCTACAAATCCTAAGCATAAACCAGAAGCGTCCTTTACCCGAAGTCCAGCAATCCGCAAGGTTCATGGACCCTGTAAAACCCTAATTATTACAAAGCCTGTAAACCCTACCCTCACCCTCCAATGTAGGTCCTGTTTGGGTATATACCTTCAATGTAGTTCATGTTTGGGTAGTGATATGTCTATATATATATATATAACCCCCTACCCAAAAACCTCAACAGACCGAAATGGAATTACATAGGAGCCCTTGGGTAAACCCTAAATCCTACAAAGTCCCAACTTGGACTTGGCATTGCAGGTGACAGGTCCGCCAAGGACTTCCACATCTTTGTGCCCCATGGCCTGGTGCCTCGGTCAACAGGTTAACCTTTGGGGTCTCATAGGGTTTAGGGTTCAGGGTTTAGGGTTTAGGGTTTAGGGTTCAGGGTTTAGTGATGTTTA